GATAATTTTTTTAATTTATTACGAATGTCATTTATATTACAACAATAAGAACAATAAACAATTTCGAAGTAGCTTTTATCACTAGAATAAAAGAATAAGCTTTCCGCTCTTTTTGGTGTTATTGGGAAAAAGATATCGAGCAACAGTTGAAATTTATCAGTTCTAGCGAAATTATATAATAAATGTTACAAATCAATTATGAGAAAAAAATAATCAAAATTGTATTAACTCGTGAGCAAAGATGGGTATTTTTGTAGTCCGTTGGTTCAAACATTACCTCATATTTATTGCCTTATATTTATGAAATTACGTGTAGTTTGAGATAGCACAATTTCGAATCTGAAATTTTGAGAAAGCGTGGTTTTAAATTATAATAAATTCTCTACTATTCGATTCTTATTTAACAGTTTATAATATTATAACACGATTAAGATTAAGATTACAAGGATGATTCTTTATTATTCTATAAAATTATTTATTCTCTATATAATTACTAATTATAATAAGAATACATAAGAATATCAAAAACTACTATCGATTAAATAAAGTTCTTTTATTTTGATGATATTATAAATATTGTTTCTAACAATTTGTTTTATAACTCATGTTTGCTAATATAAAATATAAAATATATATTAAATAATGAAAATATTGTGAAGAAAAACTTTGCATACAAATTCAAAATTAATAATATAATAAAAATTCAAGTAATACGTAAAAGCAATGAAATCAGTACAATAAAAAAATATTTAACTTTTATTAAATTATTACATGCAGTCAGTATCCATACATAACATAAAGTAATCTAATTTCTTTCGAATGATTTAATATTAATTTGGTACATAAATATTTTAATGTATAATTTTATATTTGTAATTGTGATTTTGAAATTAACTTCTTATTTAATAAATTAATCTCGTTTTACTATTATTTTATTACTTGTATTATCTAATAAAAGTACATTTTATTATATTTTGTAAAAATTTATCAAAATAGTATATAAAAAGTTGTATCAGTTTCAAAACAAATTTTGCATTTATTAAAAATTATAATTGAATTATATTGTTTCCTCTAATCAAAGCAAAGTAAAAGTATAAAATATTTAAGTAAAACATCCTTCACAATTGAAATATATAGAATATACAAATTAATATCTATAAAAAAAAAATCGTCTTTTTATTATAAAGTATAAGAATGTATATTTTTAATATATGAATACGCATTTCTCTCATCTAATAATAATAAATCTAGTAAATCAGTTATTTATTATTATTTGTCTATACTTTGTCAATGCAATATATTTTTGAAGTTACGAAATATATAAAATATTACTTTACGAGAATTAAAAGAATCTACCAGAATTAAAATCTTTAAAAGATCTATTTATGTAACTATTAATAATGTTATATTGGCTAAGTGTGATTATAATGATTCATATATTTTTTTACTTTTATCAAGCTATTTTAAAACGAACGTATAAGTTTCTCTTATTTACTTTTTATTATAATAAATTAGAATATCACAAGTAATAATGCGGATGAAACTATTAATAACTTATTCCATATTAATTTATTAAGTAATTATTTGATTATTTAGAGTAATAATAATAATAATAATTTATTAATATATTATTAATTATTGTTATTAACACAATTTAATATTATGTTAAATCGTTTTATTTTTGAAAAATAAGCTACATTTTAATAATAATCTTATTCTTTTAAAAATTCTTTTGTTTAAAAAGTAAAAGTAGTAAAAGCAGTTGAATAAAAATTAAAATAATTAAAGTAGTAATTAAGTATTAAAAAATAATATTTTTATTGAATTCGATACTATAAATATATTTCAATTACTTAAACATTACTTTAAAATTTGCATAGTACCAATGGAAATCTCAATATTAAACAGCACAGCTATACACATGAGAAGATTCAAAAATTAGACTTTGTAGGTCTGATCGATGTCAATAGTTACATCAACGACTTTAAACATCATTACACTGGCTCATTGAAAGCACACGTGTCGTAATTTACGAAACACAATTTCATCATTAGATTAATAAAAGTCAACGATACACGTTGGCTGTCAATAGAGTTATTCGTCACCCTTTGTTGCGCCTCTTTTCTCCAATGTTTTATATTTGCAATTGCGAGTGTCTCGTGTGTAAAAAGATAATCAGGTCGTTATATATTACCCTTTAGCAAGATTGATATCGCTCCATGATAATATTTAAAATTGTACATGTTAGATTATAGCGAGGAGTATAAGGAGTGGATATTATGCAAATATTAGCATTTTAGAGCTAACTTTCTCACGCGGATAAATGAAGCACGAACATCGACACTTATGATGCACGTCTGTTTTGTTTATGAGTCAACTCGCTTTCGTCCTTTTTATTACGATTCTAGTATTGCGATGATGAGCGCTACGCTTTGTTGTTACAATGTTTCCCAAGCTCGGTAGTTAAAGTGTACAAGAATATACATCTAGAAGATGTTTGAAACATGTAGACGATAAATATTTCTGACTTCATAAAAGAGACTGCAACGTGATAATATAATTCTTGTGAGAACGATAATGAATATCAGGTGCGTATATTCTGCAGACCCGCAGTTTCTTATTTTATCGACTCTTGTGTTTACATCGCTTAATTTTTGTAGAGATATGTGTTTGATAGTTCTCTTAATGTATAGCCAATTTTGATGTTTAAATCTGAGATTTTATTTGTCAAATATACTTTTTTATCTCTCCGTTATTATTTATATAATTATTTCAGGATGATTTATTTTTTAATATTACATCCATATAGGCAAGAATTAATGTTACACAGTGTTTTTAAAGAACTGAAAGGCATTTCTTATAGAAATTTGAACAAAATTTGAACAATATAATGTATTTTCTTCTATAATTTTAATAAACTTTGGAAACATATTTATTATTTAGTTTTTTTTTTCTATAAATATACAAATAATACAATTTGGTTTGGCAGTCTGACGACAACATTTATGATCTCATTTGTAGAATTCTATATTTGTAGAAATGATCATATAACAGTTTTCAAGAGCTTTCAGTTGACATAACTTAAAGCATTACTAATAAAATAAATTGAAAAAAACGTTCTTCAGGGTTTAGTATTTGATATTCCATTAAAATAATGAATGTACAAGATATTTAATTCAATGAAGATATATTCGAAAATATTTATATATAAGGTAGGTTTAGATTTTCTATAGTTTTCGAAATGTCATTCAAGATCCGATTTATTAAATAAATGGATTTTTAGAATGTTAAAAACTTTTTATCATAATTGAAGACGATAATACAATAGATTTACTAGGCATACATGTATAGACAATATACTAACTAGATACTAAAAATATTACAATACAATTAAAATGCATGCAAGTAGATTTCTCATGACATTATTTTTGTAATATTTAAATTAGAAATTTTCATTTTAATAATATTTGTTCACTTTGGGTATTATACAAATACAACCATTATTTTATATATTTAACAGAAAATAAAGATGTTATAATTTCGGTTTAAATATAACATGAATAATTTTCACATGAATATTTTATTTATTTGATATATTCTATATAATTATAAAATTTTATAAATTGTAAAAAATAAACAGTTATTATAATAATCTCAAATAAGAACAGTTTAATCTTCTTTCTACTTGCTGCTTTGTATATAACGGTGTAGAAGATTTTTAATCTAACATTAAACTTCATAAGTTTTAACATCGAGCTTTTTCATTCTTTGAATCCTTTACTGAGTAAAATATTTTCACATAATATTATATTTTTATTCAATTTATATTGAGCAATACAGAACATCATGGCGCATGACAAACTCGTAATGTGTCATGCAACATGCATTAATATTACACACGATTTGCTCCAAATTTTCAACAATAATAATAAATTATTCGACTCTTGGAATTATTCGGTATACTATCGGCTGTAAATATTCACATCCGCGTGCACGTATAAAGATGCTATAAATTGCAATATCGATAATGATGAGCGATGACGCCCTAGGATATCGTTTTGGCATCGATCATCTGCTCTGTCGAACCATAACCGGAAGATATATTCCAATGGAAGAGTGCACTAGTACTACGTAGCATATTAATTTGGCGGTTTTGTTTAGTTTGAAAATGGGAAAAGGAAATGGCGTATATTTTCGAATTTGAAAATGTGCTTGTATGTACACGAATCAATGTCCACTGCGTTGTGTATTGTTGGAAATTGACTTGTATTTTTTTAACATAATTGCATTTTCACGTTTTTCCTTTCCTTTTCAGTACATCTATAATCCATTTAAAGAAAAAATATACCACAAACTGTTTTTTCCATACACTTTGATAAAATACTAAATTCAATATATGCAATTACTTGTAGAAGAGTTTTTGTTTCAACTATTTAACCAGGATAAATATAAATATTGGGTGATACAGGTAACCATTATAATGAGTTTTAGAATATCAATTAGAAATCCTTACATATGTACTAACGATCTACTTTCTTTTTTGATTTTTTAACAGAACAAATTTAGAATACATTAAAATAACTTCAAATTTATTTAACCCACATTTTGACATATATTTTGTTATTACTTCATATACGCGAAGTTAAGATAATAATAAAAAAAAATTAACTTCGTACTATGTTTAATAGTCACAAAAGGTAAATATTTATTTGCTAAGTGTGAAATAAAATAATCAATAACTTGGAGAATCGAATCTTTGCCTTGAATCTATTAGAATTATAGTTAGAATAATGGATTATAAATGATTTAATTATTAGGATAACACGTTCAGCTTAGAAAATTTATATATACAGAATATTACACCCTTACTCCGTATAGCAGTGTGATTATAAAAACAAAAATTGTAATGCCTTTTTAATTATTGAATCTGTAGGTCGATTTTCTATGTAAGCGCCCCTTCAAAATGAAATAAATTCAGCCTAGCATTCTTACATTTGTAGGCGGAAGATCTGCTGGACGACATCCTGTCGTTTGAGGCAGGCTCCTTGGGGGATGGTCTTAAAGACGCTCAGTCGGAAAGTTTGAGCAGTTTACCAGACCTACAGATAAAGCCAGAGCCACTGCTGCTTACCGACGCCGAGATCCACGCGCTTGCCAAAGACAGACAGAAGAAAGACAATCACAATATGAGTGAGTACGATGTTATCGAAGTTCTTATAATGCACCTATGTTGGTATCTATAAACACTCCAAATTTTAACGAAAGTTAAATTTTTCAATCTAAAATGTAAATGTTTAAAAAATTTAGTTATTTCATGAAATGAAGATATTTATAGAGCAGTTATATTTGCAACGCCTACATAGATTATTAATAATCAAGACGTTACATATATTTTTACATGCAACAATAACACTTGAAGATATACTCCTTAATATTTTATCAAAAATATTTTTTTAAGAAAGTCAATAAATGCGAACAAAATGTTTAATAAATATTATCAAGTAATCAAATGAATGAAATCATTACTACGAAAATATTAATATATTTTCTAGGACAAATTTTTCATAAAATTTTTATATTTGATTTTGAATGTTAGAAAAATGTATTTACTTGAGGTGTAATGTTAAAAATTTTAAGTAAATACTGAAACAATTATATATATTGAAATATTTTGTAAAAATTAGATCAAATTAAACTACAATTGTTTTTTATTTATGCGCTTATAAGTCTTATAATTGGATAGTATTAGTTTATATATTGAAGCTTCTTATTCATACAAATTACTGTGTTAAAATGATGAATTTTCAATTAGGAATAAAATTATTTTTTAGATATGTGTATTTAATAATATTGTTAAATATATACGTAAAGAACTATATTGCAATAAAAATTTAACGTTCTAAATACTACATTTAATTCTTTACATTTTTGTAAGTCCATTTGTGATTTCATAAGTAATCATTATTTGTAAAGTTGCAATTTTATTAAAATTAAATTGTAGTTAAAAATTTTTTCCTTATTTATGTCTTATTTATATTTAAACAGTGATGAATATAATGTCCCAAGGAATTTGATTTTGTTTCTTCGTACTTAGTTTTCAAGTTTTTTAACAATCGATATTCTATTCCTATTTCAGTGAAAACATTGGACAAACTGTGTTGTTAAGAAAATCGTTAAGTTAGTGGACCACACAATGAGATAGAGTCAATTACTTTGATAAAATTGTTAACAGCTTATAAAGGCGCCATGGAATTTTGTATTGATCTCTAATTTAATATACTAGATATTGCATTTCTATTTATATTATTAATAAAATGTTTTACACTCTATCTATAGTTTTATTATAAACTTAAATTGCATACTTTAAAAATATTTTTAAAAGTATATAATTTTACTTACTAATACTTTTTACTTTTTAATACTTTTAAATATCACCTTGACTTATTAATTTTTATAAAATTATTATTTTTATATTATTATTTTAATAAGTTATAAGTTTATCGATGTACAATTTAATATAATACAATTTAACGAGTATTATGATTATACTTTAAGTATATTAAGAACATTAATATCAATATTAATACTATAAACAAAATTATCTAAATTATATGAGTTATATTAAAATAATATAAAATATAAAAGAAATAGAATAAAGTATTTTTTTTAATTATACTCTTATAAAGCATAAATATTTTTTTAGATTTAAGATATTCTAAAGAATAATTAAATTAATTTTATACTATTCATAAAATTATTATTAACTTTTTCATGATTTTATTAAAATCGCTGATTAATAAATAAATTTTTTCGTATGTATTCGTATGTTTCGTAGTTGTTTATTATGGAATAAACAAACATTTTACTTTCGAATTATATGCATTAATTTAAAAAATTCAGTAAATTGGCTGTATATTATCTGTATGCATCATATGGTACAAAAAGAACAAGAAAAAGGTAAAACCACGAACAGTATTTTATGTGAAACTGTTGGGGGTGGGGGGTGACTTTATACTACGTACGCGAGGGCAAACAGGAAACTTTCATTTTTGGTGTGAAGTGTTGTTTAGATAATCGAATCACGTATTTACCAAACGGAATAGTTGAGAAGTTCACACGTGAAAAACACTCGAGATTTCCAATAATGTCAGTTTTGCTCCTTTTTTGTTTCGCACATATTGCATGTCGACTACGATTCACGATGCATTCGCATTTTTCCATTAAGAAAATGAGGCGAAAAATAGAAGAAGATAAAAGCACCCATCTATAAAGACAATATGAATAAAAACCATACAAATATGTAGCAATAATTAATCTAAATACGTTGAGATATTCGAATGTGTTGAGATATCGAAAACATTTTTTTTCGATAAATTAATCAGACAGACTACTAAATCAGTTTTTTAAAATTATTCTCAGATTTAAATTAAACAATATGCATATACAATTTTAGAACTTTGTTAATGTAATACACAAATGCAATTAAAATTATATCGGATATAAATTCTGTTCTCATTTTAATATTGTCTTGACTCAGAGTTATTATTCCGATTAAAATGAATATAATTCAGTACAATATTTGCAATTCTTCATATCAGTTTTTATATAATATTGAGAATCACGTATAATTTAAAAAATTTTTTATTAAAATAAAAAAAAACAGAAAAGAAAAGCGTGATCATGTAAGGTACAAATGAATGTATGTAATATATGAGAAGCCTGAGATGAATGAACGCGAAATATAAAAGAGATATTGAGATATATTCATTTACATTACAAAGGAAGATAAAAAAGACACTTAAATAATGGAAGAAAAGCGAGATCGAGCAATGGTAGAGAAGTAGAAACGCTATTGCAATTGTGTTCGATAGAAGTAGCACAGATGTTTAGAGGAAATTACAAATTTGATATTATTTTATATTTTCTTTCAATGTTATTTACTTATGATAGTTCGTAAGTAGATGCCTCAATGCTTCTACAGTTTCTAATTTCAAAGACATTAATCATGTATGTTTAAACATGTAATAATCGATAACATTTTTTGCCGATAATGAAATTAAAATAAAATAAATATTATACCGTCTTTTCGTTTAAAATTACTTCATTTGAAATTATTGTCATAATTAATCATCAGATTTTAATTTAAATATAAGTATGCAGTTTACTATTGTAAGAGCTGTTGAGTCATAGTTTCCCTTTCGATGTAAAACTGGGATTAGTTCGATTATGTGAGTAGGTTTTAAAATGTATTTATTCTTCGTTCAAACGGAATAGCGAAACGATTACGAGAAGAAAAATAATTCAATCAACGTTCAAACATTAATCCAACTTTAATTCTGCGTCATTACATAGTGCATGAAAAAGTTCTTCCATCTCTTTCATCGTTCTATAAATATAGTTTTAAACAATTCAACCTTGAAAACGAAATTATTATTTTTATAAATTTCTTCGTTTATAATCTTATTATACTGTGATAAACAAAAAACAACTTGTGTACCCAATTATTCATAAAAGCAATTTATCTTTTACAATAAAAATGCCAAATTAAAACAAAATAAGCCATAGAGTGATAAAAATACACTTGTCCGCAACCTTTTTCCTAAATAAATGTCGACCTCCCGCAAGGAATAAAATGGATTGTTTTTTTTATTTAAAATTCTTTAGAGGCATGACGTATCACTTCACAAGGTCGACTTTCGTCGCTGTTTACACTCGAGAATAATGTGCGGCAAGGGGAACGAGGGATATTGGGATTCATATCATGTCCATTTTAGAGTGTAGAGGTTTATAAAATTTAATTAACCAAATAATATTTCTCTAATTAAACTTAATACCAAAAGTGTTGCAGTGTCGATATAACTGATAAAAAAATCAAATATCAAATGAAAAATAAATATTTGATGAGTAAAAGTGTACATTAACAAGAATTACAATTTCTTTTATTTTTTAATATTTTTGAACCTGATATCTTTCTTTATATCAGAAAGTTTTGTCGAATGCATTTGTACTTTCATATATACTCTCATTCGTATACTCAATATTTTTCTTAATATATACTACTTAATACAAATGATTCTTATTTATTCCATAATATTTGTAATCTCAATTAAGATTGCAATCTCATTTCAATACTTCTCTTTATCATTTATATAAATATCTTTATATATCTCTTTATAATCTCCCGCTATCTTTTAATGTCGTTTGCGAATTCAAAAAATAAAATAATATAAAGACAAAAATGATATAACTTTCATCATGAATATTTATTTAACATGCAGAATTAGATTTATCTTTACAAGATACTTTATTCTTGTGTAATAAGGCCAACTACGTGCAATATACCAGACTTATACAATCACAACTTTCATTTTATTTTTCTCGTATTCAAAAACCAATGCATCACAACTGGATATGAAATGAATTTCTGATTTCTCTAATGCTCGTTGTTTGTTTTTTTGTTTTCATTTGAATTAATATCCGTAACCTAAAGTGTGCAAAAAGTGTCATCTAAAAATTTAAATTATTTATTTTTCGATATGGAGTTGTTGCAGCCACAGTTATTGGCTTTTCCCCCTTTCCTTTTTTTAATTATAGTAAGTTTGTTTATAGTTATAATTGTATAGTATTGTTATTTTATTCCTTTGAAGTATTTTCAGGTATTTAACAAAGTGTATCTGGTCACTTCATAATCGAGTCTTGAATCTTCATAATCGTCATAAATGTCGATAAGCAAATGATTATGGTTGGTTAGTAGAAAAGAAACATACGAGTAGAAACAAATCGATTCATGATATTGTAATTGTAACAGTGCTGTAACAATTGCAATAACATTATTGCAACAATTGTATAAATACTTTTAATCAACGTGAATTTAACTTAATTTAATCAAATAAATTATTTATAAACTAATATTTTTTTATATAAATTTAAAAAGCATAATTGCTGGTTGAATATTACATTTATTAGGAGATTTTCCAAAATTTATCTAAGCATACAATAACGAATTTAAATATCAAATCAATTAAAATTCATTTTAAATTGTTATAACCGATAGCTAGTGAATTTATATAAATTGTTTTAAAATGAATACTCCTGGAAACACAATATATGAATTAAATTCTTAAATTAAGATTTTATTTTAAATATAGTTTTAATCGACAGAATTTTTTATTCAAATAATATAAGATTTAAAAGAAATAATAGGAATATATAGCTAAGGCAAAAATATATTGATTAGGTGTTTTTTTAAGCAGAACTATATTTGTATTTACACCTCTACATAACTATTTAAGAATTAAATTTGATATTTTTTATATTCAGTACTATAAGGGAAAGTGTTAAAGCTTAATTAAAAATGTTTATATAATTAAGGGACAAAATTTTTTTAAAATATGTCTATAAGTAATTAATAAAATTTTAAACAAAATAATATTTATATATTTTATAAATGATGTTTTTATAGATATTTTTCAGTTTGATAAAAGTGAAATCTTATGTTATAAATGAATAATAATTAATAATTATAGATTACTTAATGTATTAAAGGAAATTATATAGTATTTTTATTTTATTTAAATTTTATTTCACCATTATTTTTTGCATATATTAGTTTTTCATATATTTTTATATATAGCTTGTATATACATATATATATTTATATATAGTTTTTTCTTCACAGATATATACTTGCAATATTTTGCATTGCGGTACAAGTGTCATATCCTTAACTCTACTTATGATTGAATAAAATTCTTTGAAAATTACATTATAACAGTAATTAATGAAAATATAATATTAACAACATTAAAATTAAATAAAATTCTGCATATTTTTAAAAAAGAACAAAATCGTATATATATTTCAAACTTGTGTTCACATATTTATTACTTAATAAATTAGATACGGTGTAGAGCTTTTAGGTGTGAAGTACAGTGGGCATTAAAAAAAAACCAGTATATGATTAATTTACAGGCGGCATGGAATATTAATCGGAATTGATGATAGGAAATCGGTATTAAAACCGATTAAAAGAATTATATGCCAGGTTGGATGAGCATATGATTATTAGCACTGCCTCCACCTCATGACACAATAAAGTGAGTGGGAATTTTAGCCAATTGAATTTGCCACTCACGAACACAACTCTTGCTTATTTCATCGACGATATATGCGTGAGGCGTTGGATAACCTATGACTCAACCCTATGCAAGGAGACTCTTTTCTCAATATATTGTACGGAATTATAAAAATTAAGCAATATATACAATGTAAGTAAAAGAAGAGAAAAAGTAAACAGATAGATAGATAGATGGATGGATGGATAGGTATAGAGAGAAAGCGAGAGAGAGCTAGATTAAGATTAAGTTTATCTTACATTTTAGGCTTATATTAAAATAATACTGATTTACCGTATATTTTTAATGTCGAAAAATGAAGTTATAAAAACTGTCTCTCCGATGAAGTGTAATGAGAAATAGTTTATAAAACATTGTGCAACAATATATGTATGTTATTTAATAGAGAATAAAACTAGATACAGCTAGAAATAGCAAGACATAATCATTAATATGATACTAAAGCATCTAAAAGCTTCAAAATCTATTTCGATATAAAGCAAATCTAATGTGAGAATCAAGATTAATAATCCGACCTAAAATTAGCCACTTTAATTTTCGAAATATAGCTACTAATATAGTAATAATTTTTTTAATTTTTACTTTAAATTTACACGTATAGTGCAGGTAAATAGTACCAATAACGAAACATTCTATTTTCCATTGTATGAATTAGTCTTTTTAACTCATACACGTAATATAAACATCTTAGTACAAATAATTTAAGTCAAATTTTCATTTATAGTTACATAATAAAAATCAATAAAATATTTTAAATATAATTAAAATATAGATTACAATATATTTTTACTTTAATCATATTAATATAATAGCACAAGATATTTTATATTATTCTTAAAGTGTTAGTAATCGTTTAATAAAAAAGTTTCATCATCCTTGATGTTCTTTTCATTCTTTTCAATAAAATTCATTAAATTATATTGTTTATGTAACAATTTGTATCTTCATATAATTAATATACATTCTATGATATTGAAGTCATAAATAAAAAATTTCTATATTTTCTTGAGAGTGTTTTAGTAAATTATTAGATTTTTAATATATTAATGATTATTATTCTTTAAAAGATATTAGAAATCACAAATAATTAAGAAATATACATGATCTTTGGATGATTGGATATCCTTGATCGATTGTTATAAAATTTTTAAAAAAACTTGTTTTATAATTCTATGCAAATATGGTTAGTTAAGGCAAATAATTTTCATAATAATATTATAAAGAATAAATGTATTATTTTTTTCTATATTTTATTTAGTTTATTACTTAGTTTTTTAGGGAATATTATAACACAAACACACACACGACACATGGTTAATGACGAATCACCTGTTATGAGATTTATGTCTTCGATACCAAATGCGAGTCTACATATGTGTTACGAAATAACGAATCTTCAATCGCATATTGTTCTTTATTTTATAATTTGAATTTCGAATTAAAACAAAAAAAACACTTATTGATTTTTTTTAATTAAATACAAAAATTAAATAGTAATAAAACCAAAATATATATCATTATCAATATATTGTATATTTATTATATGCAAACATAATTTTTTTTAGAAACAATTTTATTTATTAAATGTTTTAATGAAAAAATTTATTTAATAATTATTTTATCAATAAAAATAAATTCTTTTAAAAAGTTTTTCCTAAAACATAGATCGTAGATACTCGAAATATCTATAATATATATACTGTTTATGCACCATTACGGTAATACGAATCAAATCGATTAAAAAAAGGAACATTACAAGTAAAACGCGAAGGGTAATTTTTTCAGCAAAAATCCGAATAACAGAAATAGCAAATAGTAAATTTACAAAGAGTCGATTTCACATTGGCAGACAAAATGATAGCAAATGAAAGTCCCTAAATGCGATACAATGATTGATGCGAGCAATTTTCTTTTTTCAGTCGAACGCAGGCGACGGTTCAACATCAACGATAGAATCAAGGAACTTGGTACCCTTCTTCCTAAAACCAATGATCCGTAAGTATTATTCTATTTTTCATTCTCCTTGAGCTCTTTTCACACATTGAAATTTTTATTCTATCACCTTGCATCTGATAGCTATACTTCATAAGGATCTTTTTTTAATGAATACTTTTTCTATTTAATATTGACTCACTAGCTATGGACGGAAAAAAGAAAATTCTGATACGATAAATAAGGAATAATGTAAAAGTAAGATGTTAAGAAAAAAGCATGTTTATTATGAGTTAATCTTTTTACTCGACATTTATAATATAATATATTTTCGAGTTTTTTCATTAATTTCTGATATTAAACTTTCATATAGAAAAGCAAATTTTTAATTTACTTATATATCAATATTTATAATGTTATAATATTATCCGGTTTTATTACTGAAATATTTAACAAATAAAATTTCTTTATGAAAGTTAAATGAAGCTTTACAAATTACATTCATTTGAAAAACTTTCAAAATTAAATTTTACAAATATTTTCACCATTTAATTTTTTATTTAATTAAAATTCGATTATTTATTAATAATATCATAGTCATTGTAGTTTTGTTTTACTTTTCACGTAATAAATTTGACTATATGACAAATTATTCCTTTAAGTACATTACCTTAAATTTGGATCTTTGTAGTTATTCATTTGTAGAATATGTATTTTAGGAATTATTAATTGCAGGATACTTATTTTTTCGAAAAAATTGTAGAAATACATTATTTCATATTATTTATTAGACATAAATCTTCGATCTTAGGAACATATTGTATAGATATTTTAAGACGACATCACAATTTGTCATATAAAGATTGACGATTGATGTGGAAAAAGAATATTTATTGGATAATTCATAAGAAGTTTTTATTTCATTTTAGGTAACGTAAAAATCCAAAAATATTTATGATTTTTCTTTATATATAATATATAAGTATTCCACCATGTTCGATCGATCCTTTTGAAAATTTTCAACTGTTAAAATATCCAAAATTTCTTATAAAAGTCTCATACTCTAAATAATAAAAGGTATTGTATAGTGTATATACGGCATATATATGTAATTAAATATAAATAGTAAAAAAATATTACAAAGTATATTATAATTTAAAGTTTTACATCTTATCATAATATTAAAGATATTATTAAAGAATCCATGGATATGCACTTGTATGTAAAAGTACAAATATATTATTAATTGATAATAATATCAGAATCGCATATATAGCATCGACTTTACAGAAGATCTTTCTACTGTACATAAAGAAGAAAACGTAGAAGCACCTTCTCTAAGCACGTATACAGAAATCCTAACGAATCCTTTTGTATAATAACGACCATTTATCAACTTCTCTCTGTATTTCACTTATCACTGTCGCAGAACACGTTAAACAGTTCATCGTGTCATCATTTCTTTCGCAATAGTGGTCTTTAAAAATCAATTAGATTGTTAAAAAAAAGACTAGTTTTTATATTTACTCGGCTAAATATTTTTAAGAAGTATCAAGTATCATTTAGCTTTACATGAACATATATAAAATGAAATGTTTCAATATGCATTCGATGCTATTAAAATTAGATTTACATTTCGTGATTATAAAATCAGAAAAGATACTAAATACTGTAGAATGGAAACCAAAATCGGATAAACTTATTGACTTATCGTATACATTTTAAAACATTCAATTCGAGACAAAAATTATAAATTAAATTTTATTTATTTGCTTCAATATATAACTTAATTCAAATATTTATTAATTGTTTCATTTTTGTATTTTAAATAACAGATTATAGTCTCTTAAATAAGATAGTAAAATATTTAGAATAAAATATTTAAAATAAAAAATAATTCAATATTTTCATTACTACTATCATTAACATTTGATTTAAGAAATTCTAATTTACTAATGTGAATATGTTACTAATTCATTTAATAAGAAAAATAAATAGCGACTGCAAAATCTATTAAATTTATTAAAAATATTCATAAATTAATAATTTTTTTAAATTTCATAATAATTTCAGAAATTTGTATTGTATTATTTATATTACTGAATAGTATTATACATTTAAATTAGAAATTGTATACGGGAAAATCGCCAGAAGGTCTTCTGTTTTATTATTTGGACAGATAGTTTTCTTATCTACAAGCGTTACTAAGTATAATAATTTATTGTTCATCCATATGGGAATATTAATATTAAAAATTTGTAATCAGCCTTGCATAGCTGTAAGTGATTGATGAAATAATTAGTTAGTTGACTTACTATATATTATAGATTTATTGAAATGAAAATTAGGATATCCATAAATTCTTGGTATTTTCATTATTTTTTAACAAATTTGTTTTGACAATATCAGAGCCTCTAGTTTTAATTGAAAATTTTATAATTATAATTTATATATTTAATATCTTTTAAGCATGGAAGACGTATATATATTTATTTAAAATAGAAAATTTCCATGAATTTTATTATATTTCTGCACAAGAAACATTACGGTTATTATAATCAAGTTATGTCAATCAATCATTATGAAAATTTTAAAATTTACGATGAACATTAATTGCACATTAATTAAAGCGAATAAAAAATTCTCACATAAACAAATTTATTCTCTTCGTTAAATCCTTCTACAAAAATCTTGTTAAGAAATTCTAACATAAGTGAACTTCCAGCTCACTGTACTGATAAATGCATAACTCTTAGCATAAATAATATAGATCACAAAGGCTTTGGATGAAACTGATAAATATTCTTTTTGTGACGACGGCCAATAATGAGACTTAGCTTTATTTCTTTTCTCTTCACATACTCGAATTTAACGTTTCAATCGTGAATCTCATAAACACTATTATTCATGATTCGATATTTATAAATCATAGTCTTTCAATTATTATGAAAAACTATGTATTACTGATATTAATAAAATATCACCTAAGATTAGAAGGTCAAGAAAAATCTATTTATAATCAATTTATAAAAAATTTTATATAAAAATCATGATATCTATTTTCTTAAAATAATTAATTATTTCCAGTTTACAATAATACAAAAATTATATATTTAGATTTATAATAATTATATTTACTAGAATTTATATTTAAATTATTTCATATATCTTCCACATCTATTAAATTAAGTCAAATATTAATTCCGATTTAAATTGGTTTTAAAGTGATAAACAATTTTTTTCATAATTTACAGTCGTTTCTTAACATAAGATTTACTTCTATTCAATACATATGTGCTATATTTTAACTTAAAAACTTAAAATTTACTGAATCAATTAATTAATATTGATAGTCGAAATCATCAATCTTTATCTTAAATATTATTATGCTTATTTCATTTTTATGAAATGTGCGATTTTTAAAAATAATAGTTCAGTAATTGATATAACATATAATATAAATATTATAATAAAAAGGTAATATAAAATTTAAAAATGAATGAAATGTCGCTTTTGTACCGATTACACAAAAATTTTCTTTTTAACTGTATCTCAAATAAAAACTTAAAAAAATATAAATAAGGTATGAAATTAATAAATAGTACAATAATTTAATCAGTTTGTTAACTATTGTAGAAGATTGAAATTTTTTAAAGTACAGTCGATAATAAAGAAAACGAAATTCAGGAGTGTTTTTGTTCGACAAGTGTATAAAGCGATATACATACCTGTATACTTGTTATTCGTAATTTATAGAATATATCGAAATTATCGAATTTTTATTAATATATTTTATTAAGAATGTAACCAATATAACTCATACTTAACATAAATATGAATTTTTTTCATGAAATTTGAATATTTGCTATTCTTTAATTAAATTTAATGACTATGAAAGTATAGATGTCGGATCATAAATAGATCAGTGATTTTAGTTTTATATATTTAAAATTGCATATACACATTATAAAAGTATTTTTACAAAATATTAAAACATAATACGGCGATAGGTATAAAATAATTATTTATTAGAAGAAATAGATAATAAAATATAATTATATTATATTATTAAAAAAAACCATAATTAGTAATATAATATGGATTAGTAATTCATAAATAATTAGTAATTATTTCGAAATTTAGTTATACGAGGAAGAGAAAACAATAGTTAACTTATTGCACTTATTGTAACATATAATACACTAATTTTATGTACTAATTGTACATGTACATTAATTGTAACATATTATAAATAGTAGCTAACAATATTTAACATTTAAGTTAATTTAACATTTAAAGAAAAAAAATCAAGAAAAAATTTATTTCAAAATTAAATCTTCACTATTCGAATGGATTAATTATATAAATTCTTCACGATTTATTTGATAGTTTGGAAATACGTCAATATAACAATGTGAGCGTGGTGTGTTAGTAGACTCATCATAACATGATGAAATACTAGATTTTTGTATCATATTATATAAGAAAACGATATTGAAATTTCTCAAATTTTAAGATGGAAAATAATTAATTTAATGTGACAGCAGTTTTCAAATCCGTTATGAAATGCTTTATTAATTATTTCTTTTACTTTGGAATAATAGTTATTATGTTGAAAAGAATTAATGATGGCATAATATAAAGATGGAATAATAAGTAGTAACAACGAATATCATGTCAGGCCCCAAGTTATTTCTTGAAATGATCATTGATTTTTTGTTAATGACATCATTATTGTCAGTATATATTTATGAAATACTTTTCTTTTTTCAAATCCTACAAATTAAACTTGTCGTATCATCTAATGTCGAATTTTTGAATTTGGCAGTTATTATTTCATTAGACTTTCATTGTTATTAAAGCTCGTAACTTAGAAATTACGAGTATTACGATTAATAATTATATTATTATAAAATATTTTTCTTTCTCATTTAAAAAATGAAATATTAATTAAATGATGGGGATAAGCACCCGGGCTTAATTTTTCTATTTACATATATGATCATTTTTTCATATAAACATATAAATCATTTCTCCATATAAACGTTTTAAAATAATGTGTATTTAATTGTATAATATCTTTGTTATTTAAATGCCTTTGTACATACATATACTTGTAAGAGCCTATGCACATTTGCACACATACATTAGTCCGACTCTCTTAATATATTCTATTGCTCATATTTCTCAATCCTTCTAAAAGTGTACGTCAATGGGGACATAAATATGTACAGTTTTGTTAGCTTATATTTACATGAGGTGTTTGTCGTTGATGTAAATTTTATATAGAAAACTCTTTTATTTCCAAACGCTCATTAAATACTATAATAGTAAATGTAAGATAAGAAACTTTTTCCATTTAGAGCGTTTTAATATTCTGACACTTACTATATATAAACAAAATTGTATAAAAAAATTCAAAATTATATCTAATATCTTTGCTACCTGTGTATTATATTCTATATTATTTGATATAATCAGTAACTAATATATTATGGCTTATGGCTTAATCATTAGTGAGTTAATAACATTTGAAATATCAATACTAAGCAGATACATAAACATTTCCTTATAAAGGTTAAAATATATTTTTGCGAATATTTAAATAGCCTTTGCTGACGTACTTATATATATATATATATATATATATACATCCGATATGTTATGATCATAAAAATAAATCTTTAAATAAATGTCAATTACTTATTATTCACTTATATAGATATTGAATAAGGTAGAAAAACTATCTAAAAATGATTAATTATCACAGGCTAACATAAGAAAAATCCAAATCTTAAACTTATATCGTCTTTACAGCTACTACGAGATTGTAAGGGACGTGCGGCCAAATAAGGGTACAATACTGAAGTCATCAGTGGAGTATATAAAACTATTGAAGAACGAGCTGACACGCATGAAGCAAAGCGAGTTGAGGCACAAGCAGCTCGAGCATCAGAATTGTCGTCTACTACTGCGCGTTCAGGAGCTCGAGCTCCAGGCGAAGGCCCACGGGCTTCCTATTACGGACTTTAACTGGACCTCGTCCTCGGCCAGTTTACTCAACTCCTACGCCAAGAGTAGGCACAGAAAGGTAGAATCAGAGCTCTATATGCACTTTAAATTATTCTAGTTGTTACATTAACTAGGTAAAAAACTCAAAATAATTATAATTATGTGTAAAATAAAGTAAGGAAAAAATGTGTTACATAATAAGCAGTACAGTACTCTTTTCGAAAGTTACAAAAGCTTATTTTGGTAAAAATTGTCTATTAATTAGAATAAAATATCACATAATTATAATTTTAATTATTATATATTAGATATTCCTTAGAACGCTAAACAAAAAATAGTCATTAGTTTTAGTGGAATACAATTTATGTTTTTCTCTATGCAATAATAGTAGTTAATGAGTAAATGGTAACAAGTAAATGTATAATGAACTTATGCGATGATATTTTAGTTCATTTGCTGCGATTCAAAAGTCACTTGAATAAATTTTAAGATTTTTGCGACAACTGCAGTATTCTAGTTCCGTAGATTATATATTTATTTTTCTTTTACCTAGTTATAACATATATAACTTTTAATGATTATTAGGATTTTTCTACATATTTTAATATGGAATAATTTTGTTTTATTCTCTTTATATATATCTTTATTTCTAAAGAAAACTAATTAATCAAATTAAATTAAAAATAATACAGATAATGACATGAGTACAATAATAATTTTGAATATTTTTATATCCGACGGTGTGTGCATGATTAAATAACTAGTTATGTATACTGAAAATTTATAACATTGATAATAAAAAATGCAAAAAACTCAACGCAATTATATGCTATATTAACTACCACGAAACTTCTCAATAAAATATGACGATATTAAAATACGCATACAAAAATTTTTCATTTTTCATAAAAAATCATACATTTAAATTCATATCTAATTTTTTTTTTAATTAAGAAAGATTTATAATAATATTAATGAATATAGAATAGTAGTCGATTAAATTACTAATTATGAATTCGACTATTAACTATAATGATTTCTATATTCGAAAAATATATTTACTATGCTAGATGTTCGCAACGAAACATTAATATATTGATTAGTAAATTGCAAATAATACAATTATCAAGTTGTATTTATATACAACATCTAAAATGCGATTTTTTTTAATACAGATAAATTTGTCGTCAAACACACTTGACCTTAAATCTTGCCAATATAAAGAACATATATGATTTCATCGTTGAAGTTTAAATGAAAAACAGGAAACGTACGGAAGCATCGTTTAAAACTCTCGATAAAAGAATAGTCAAGTGTTTATGTAACAATGAAAAACTGAATATATTACAAATGTAATACTTCTAGAAATTAAAGTATTCTAACTCTAAATTACTTTAATTCTCAAATTTTTATATGTGTGAAGCTTAGATTAAATATAGATTTAATAGTATTTTATGCAATTTTGTTATTTGCGATTCGTTTAAATATAAAAAAATTAACTAAATTAATATAAAGATGAATAGTTAAAGAATTTTTAGAGTCTTGAAAATGCTATTATATTCTGAAGGAATCATTACATTTATAAATAGAATTTTCGAATTAAGAATATAAACTTTTGTTATAAATATTAGTATTATAGTTCATAATGCAGAACCTGTTTTTTGTTTTCATTATTAAATACAAAAATAATTGATAATTTCCATACAAAAAACTTAAAGATAAGAAATCACGTTCAACTACGTTTAATAATGTAATATTAAGAAACTTTCAACCATTACAATGTATTTGTTATTTTTCACCTGGCTTCATACTAGTACTTAAAGAAAAAAAAAGAAAAAATGTCAGTTTACTTTACTTACATGAACTAAATTATTGCGTCGTGACTCAAGCTACGACTGTCGTGTTTCCTATCTTTTCGTCCATCTTCCATCGCTCCAAAGAAGTACAGTTAAATTTTATAGTCTGTGGCATGCTTTATCTTACCAATAAAAGAAGCAAAATATATTGCAAATAATTATTTAAAATATCAATGAATTCAGATAAGCTTTTATATTCATTGTTATGAAAATAATAAATCCTAGTTAATACACGAAGTATTACCGTTTTATTCAACGTTTTTATCAGTTCTTTCAATAATTCACTTACGTCAGAGTAGATCAATATTTTTCTTTATTTAAAAATATGTTTGAAATTAGTACAAATTCAAAAATTATTTTAAAATATTAGGAATTCTCAAATTATTTTTGAATCTCAATAGTTATATTTTTTTTAGTTTATAAACTTTTCGGTAAATGTATTTAACGATTCATTATTTTATTTATTAATATACATATTGGTGTTCTTTATTACTTTGTTATACTAAAAAACTGTAGTACTTTATTATTGTATAAATTTCATGCAATTGTAAGACATTAATGAGACTGATTTGATTAAAATTATTTTCATTTTGTCTTGTTTAATATTTAATAGATTTAAGATCATATGATAGACGAACAAGTTAGAAAATCATATTCAATACTGATTTATAACTTAGAAGAAGAAGATTTCTAAGTTGTGCTTAAATTATAAAGTTCAAGAATTCCAGAAAATTAAAATATCACTAATAATTTTTAATTTATACATAGATCGTAAATAAAGAATATTAATTTTCAATATAGTAATTACTTTTTAAGACAAAAAGTAAAAAAATATTGAATGGTACTATTGAAGACTTCATTGGTAAATAATTACAATATTTGAAATCATATTCATTAATTTGAATTTTTTAGTTTCAATGGACATTTTTAAATTATAATTGCATGCAATCTGTTTTATATAATATAACGAATTTAATATAATACAATTGATAAATTAAAATTAATTGACCACGAAACATTTTCGGTCTAGATTTTATGAATGAATTTTTATTTTCCAAAAATAAAATAAAATAAATAACATAATAACATAGAATTTAAAAATATACGAGCATTTTAACTGCATAATCAAAATATATTTATATGCAGCAAAAATTCATAGTATTTAATTTATATAAAAAATTGATAATGCATTAAAATAAACTATTTTTATGCTATTTCTTATATTAATTTAGTAGAATTCCGATGTTTCTAAATTCTTTATAAATCCAGAAACAATTACTTTATATTTACTATAGAAAATATTGGAATTTTGAATTATTTGACTTCTTAATTTATATTTAGTTTCACTATTAAATTAATTAGTTTTAGTCGATCTTCATACAAGCATATACAATACTAGTTTTATGCAGTAATTATATTATTATTGCAGTTATAAAAATTATTGATAAATATTTAAATGAAAAATAAAGTGTTATTAACAACACTATACTTATAAATCGTATCGAATAGCTTAAATAAATTGATATTGAGAGCAATTAAATGTTTAGATAAAAATTAAATAAAAATTATATTTAATTTTAAACCGTTTTCATTTTTGTTAGAATAAAATAAAAATATAAAGAAAAAATTGCAGTCTAAAAATGGGTAAAAAAATGCTTCCTCTATGTTATATAATGACCTTACCTAATATAACAGATAAGACTAATTAAAGCAATGCCATCAGAACAATTGGAAAAACATTATTTATATTACAAAAATAGACGATCTCTTGCTTAGAATTAACATTTTGGATTTTTGTTCAAATTATGATATATACATTTTTTCTTTATTCAATAAAATATAAAAATGCAGTAGAGTGAGAAAAAAATATAAAATCATATGCAAATTATACATGCGAACTTTTTACAATATATTAAGTATAAACATTCCAATTGAAGTTGTCATTATATACATTTTTAATTTTATATATATACTTAAACAAATATCAAATTATTATATGGCTTATTTTAGTTAGTATTATTCTATTATATTTTATTTGTTTTTTTTGTATTAATTCCATTATATTAATTTCTACATATTTAAGACTAAATATTAAATAATTCGAATTTAATAATAGATTAATTCAATTAGTTTGGAAGAACTGTGAAAATGGGAATACCAAATTTCGCTTGAAAATTTGCAAAATTCCAAATAAAAAAAAATCATATAGGGAGAGAGAAAGAGTTCGTTTTATCAATATAAAATAGATTTTCACTGAAATAAAGTTTCTTTATATTTAGTATTAAACATTTTTGTAAATCTTCAAATATACTATTAATTGAAAAATTAATATCGCTAGAAGAAGATACTATTTTAATAATATTCTGAGTAATCTGGATCTGATCTATATTATTTAAGTATTTATAATCAAAAGATGTAAATACAAATATATGTATTATAAATTTGTTTAAATCTTAAAAATTTTAAAAATAATACATTGTACACCTTGTAGTTGTGATCAGAAAGCAATAGCTATAAATAAATACAACAGCATAAGAGGAAAATACAAAGTTCCATTTTTTATTTCTTCACAATAAAAGTATAACATTGATTAGAATAGATTATAATAATTTAATAATAATGGATGTATATTAATTTATAAATACTATATAGTACATATATTAAGAGACAATACACACATAAATTTATATAATTTTACTATTACTCTATACCAAATAATATTATAATATCAAATGAAATATCAAAATTATAAATGTACATAAAATACACTTTATTTCTAATTTCTAGTTACATTATACTTAAAATGATAGATAATTTTAATATTTTCTAAACGAAGAAGTTACTTTGAATAAGATTAAATAATATATATATACGCAATTTAATGATAATTTGTCTTCTTAGTTGCAAAGAATATTTTGCAAATTTATTATCTTCTTCGATAAAATTTCCGTTCCTTATAGATTAATTTAATTATCGGAAACATTATAATTTTCAACTACATTGCTATATAAGAACATTGTATCTTATTTGATCCGGATATGCAGTATTCTCCAATATAAATTTCAATGCTCACTCAAATTCAGGATATACTACTGTGATTAAAAAAATTTAAACTGCACCACTGATACAAAATAATATATTTTTATTCAACATATCAAATAACTCTATGAGATAGAATATATTAGATGATTTATATACTAGAAATTTTTCATTATATGTATTTTTAATAATGATATTTCATTTCAAACTTTCATTAATCGCAATAAACGATTTCAATCTTAATTGGTCTGAGACATAAGCAACAGAGCGTGCAATTTTTACGGCTGGGATAAAAATGTTGGTATTGGGGAGAGGAATTACCTACTATGTTGGAAAAACGCGTAGTCTTCCGCTGTGATAAAATCATGTGTAAAGATTACCAGTGATGGCTTTGATTCGAGGACATAGAAACGGTTAAATTTGATGACGTCGTTTTCCTTTTATCGTCTTTCATATGAAAGGCATGTGTTTAAGATTTTATTTATTTACTTATTCAAAATAAGCAGATCAACATACATTATACAATGTACATAATTTGAGTTCCTCACGTAATTCACAAATATTATTGACATATTTCCTCTTCAAGATATTATGTAAAACTGCAAATATACTCAACGCAATATGACAATTTACGTTCTTTGTTAAAAGCAGCTTAAACTTTTTATTTATTTATTTTATTTATTCTGTCAACTTTACAATTTAAAAAAAAATTCAACCTGTAAATATAATACATTATTATATTACGTTATTGAATACTATTCAACAAAGCTTGAAAAATCAATTCAAATTACATAGAAAAAACTTTTGTATGCAATTGATTAATTTAAGTGGTTTCTATTTTACTATTATTTTCATATTTCATGATTTAAATTGATATCTAATAAATAATAATCGTTAGTTAAATATAGTTAAGTTTTTCTATTTTAGAAATATATACAATTAATAAAACAATATATTTTCCTGAACAATTGAAACATTTATACAGACACATTAAATGGCATATTCCGGACACAAAAGTATATTATAAATTATGAAATATTTTTACGTAATTGCAGGGACAAGACAAAAATATTTTTTACGAAATATAATATAATTTTTTAATTTGTTTAATTTTTTAATCGATTTAAATTAATCTAAAAGACAGATATTAAATGTGGCTTTGATTATAATGTTCTAGCTACCGGATATTGTTGCAGAGGATACGGCTGCGGCCTTGAGCCTGTCGCAGTTTGAAGATTTGATGGAGGATGACGGGGGCGGTCCCGTCCACGGCGGCGATCCTATGCTGTCGTCGCCTCACCTACCGCCCCTCAGCCCGCCGGCTCCACCCTGCCACCATCCCCTACCCGATGAAGACACCCTCGGTAGCCTCGCCCCGACGAGCTCTAACTCGTCCTCGGATATGGACATAGTTGCGTAGCCCATCGCCCCACTGGTTCATTTGTTACCAAAATGAGAATGCGCGAGCATGGGCGAGAGAGAAAGAGAGAGAGAGAGAGAGAGAGAGAGAGAGAGAGAGAGAGAGAGAGAGAGAAGGGGAGAGAATGAAAGAACGAATGGGTTTGAATGATACAGAAGGAATGGCTTCAGAATAGCCTACGGGAGGACTAGGGATGACCTTTATGAAGTTCAGAGAGCGCTCGATAAAATAGTGTACTAAGCAGTCTGGAAACAGGGATTGAAATGTAATTGGATGGCATTCTAACATCTCTGGCAGCTTAATACCGAAAAAGTTAAATGCAAGTTCAGTAATTAAACCCTCGAATATAAAATGGAAACAAACCAAAGTTAGAAATATGTATTTAGATATTTCGTGGCATCACAGTCAGTCTATTGTTGATAATATCCAATAATTATGTAAAGTATTGAACAAAACAAAAGAAAACAGAAGAGTATGCAACTTTCGTAGCTTCCTGCAACATTGCAAGTTGCCTCCAAGAACCCTTTTAACTCAACATATTTCACAGGGACACTTTCGATCTCTCTCACTCTTCATATGCCTCATGGACATCAGCATTATTGGTCAATAACAGTTACCGGTAGGTAGTGTACAACAATCTAGCGTACTAAAAGAAACAAAGCTCGCGTCTTTTGAAAAATTTACATTCTCCTAGTGAACTAGTGGTACTGATATTTCGAATGCTTCGATGAAAAGTACATATCGAAATAATTATATATATGTACGTAGACGCGCGCCTACATAACGCGCGCTCATCCTTTCCCCATTGAAAAAATACACGCATGCACGAGTGCGCCTATATACACATGCATAATTGGTGTATATATGCACGCAATTACGTATAGTATGTATTTTAAGCTTTTATAGTATGTAATAAATAATAGGGAAATCAGGAATTGTATGCCTATAATGATTTTTTCTTATTAAAGTGCGATCCGTGATTCAATGCCGTTAAGCATCGTTGTCATGTTTCAACTAATGTCAGAGTTACAAAAACAGTTGATAATAAATCTTTTGGCTGTAGCAAAACAATTTTTACGACATACACATAATACATAGCCACACATAAACAGATATATATTTACGCATTAGCAATAGAACATTTTATTAATTACGTTATTATTCAATATTAAGAATATTTTATTTTATTAAAGAAACTGTTAGTGATTTGTGCGGTACATTATTTGGAAACGTAAAATCAGTCTAAAATTAGATTTACTCAAATGACCATAATTTTGACTGCCGTGAATGTTAAACTATATAATCGACAAGATGCGTCCCCTATTATTTACTATACGTTTGTATTTAATACGAGCGCATACAATCAGAGTAAGCCTTAGGCTTATCAGTATTTGAATGATAATTAACGTAATGGAAGTACGATAGAATGAGAAAAATAAAAAAAGGTTGGTTTAAACTGCAATAATAAAGTGTAAGTGCCTTAAAGCGGTCTTTCAATGAAGCTCGAAGACCTTTATATTTCTTATAGAAACATAGCGTTCTTACAGTTATAGAAATTAATTATATATATTAGTGATTAGTAGTGATGATGCAAGCAATTGACACGCTCGACGAAGCGCTGGTCGTGCCTCGAGTGGAAGGAGCAAGGGCGTAAAAAATCCTATTCTGCGTTGTTATATTTTTTTTCATATTTTTGTGCTTCGGTTTGCTGTTATGAATGGAGCGTTATTTTTAGCGATATTGTTGATCGTGTTTACTAAGAGTACCTTGACAAGTGAGCAGGAGCGTAAAGCGGATCGCGTTGAGCGTCGATTGACCTTCACTTATTGGAAATTAGCAATATAAAGGATTATAATTTTTTCGTTCATCAATTATCATTGTTAAAGATTTCACTTCGACACGTTGAATTTCTGTTTATATTAGATTTATGGAAATTATTTTTTTGATTAATATTATTGTAACACGTCTTTACGATTAAGATATTTTGATTCCTTGTAATTTTTAAGAGAAAAATTTTACTGTTGATTTTCAGCAATAAAGTTTGAAAACTCTACCTAATGTAAAAAAATGAAATATTTTATACTATTTATTACGTGATCCTCAAATCCTATTGTTACATAATTGGGGTTATAATTTCTCCCACGCATGTAAGAAATCAGATATGTTTCAGTTTACTAATACATTTTTTATCATAAAAAAGATGAATAAGTTAAAAATTTGAAGATACCAATGGTAAATGTATTATATAATGTATTAAAGTTTTTGAAAAAATTCAAATTTTAATAGTCTATATGTTACACAAATAGAATAAAAATAATGTACATATTATACAAATTGGCATAATATCATATTTGAAAATTATATATCAGACTTTATTGATAAATAATTATAATATAATATTCAGCAGTAGAGTAATAATTTTCTTTTAATCTTGTTTTTAATTAATAATAGTACGATTACAATATTTATTAATAGAATATAGAAGTCCTATTAATTAAATGATTATATATAAATATAATATGTAATTTATAAACCGAATATGGATTTTTATTTTGGTAAAGAAGAGGCTACAAACATTAAAGTGTTTATATTAAAAATAAAATCTCATATTTTACTGGATCAATAACAGTTGAGTGCTATAACTACTCGTTTGATTTACGAGAGCTTGCAGAATGTAGACCTATTGCGAATTCTTTATGTATATTTAAGAATGTATTCGTAATTGGATTCAGTATTCGCCAAATAAAATTAGGCACTGCCTAGGATATTGCGTGTTTTATAAGAACAGACTTCCTTAATTGAATATCTAATATAAATCTCTAATATTTATTACATACTTTAGTATATTTTGATGAGTACTGCAAAAATGCGCTAGCTATATCCATCTTCTACTAATTTAATTGAATGAAATACCATGTTGTTAAATAGAACAAATGTTATACGTGTATTTTATGTTGCATGTATGTCTATTGGTTCGACTTTCGAATTTATTGAGCAACTTTTCAAATACAAAAATATACTGGACAAAAAGCTATTGCTGAAACGAACTTTTATGTTTCATTACAATTTAACTTAATTAAAATTTTTTTTTTAATTTTAATGTTTAATCACTTTTATCTTAATATTATCTATTTTAGTATGTATTTAAATAGTATGTAACATAATATTTTAATAAGACATGTAGAAATTTCAATCAGTATTTCAATATACATTAATAATAGATACTTTAATTTTCTTTTGCTATAATGTAACTGAGTAATATAGTATAGTTCATTATTTATATAAATTTGTACCTAGCAAATGTTTTACGAAATGGATTAAAACATGTATAATTAGCTTTAGTTATCAAATGTATTTGAAATTAAAAGTTTTTATTTTTAAATTATTATATATTTTGTGAATGATACATTTTAAATTAAAAATATTTTATGAACTTTAATGTCAAAAATCATAATTAATTATTTGCAAGTTTAAACGAATTGTTAAATATCAAAAGCTTTAGCTGTACAAGGTATTATTAATTTATATAAAGACAAACTAATTGGATATACAGTCATTGTATTATACACACTGTCATTCATATCATATCCTATTTAAAAGTTTAAGAACAAAACTGACAATAAAATTAAAAAATTTATTACAGTGAATAATTCTATTTTTTTATTTTTATCCAATTTCATACATAAGGTTAAAATTTGCATTGTATGAGATCATATAGACACCAATAAATTCCCTTTAATAGTATGAGCCTTTGAATTTTTAATTTCAATTTGTTATCAAATATAGAAAATAAATAACTTTTCGCAATATATTTTCTACCCATTTTCAATTATAATATTTTTCTTCGATACACGTTAACCATTTAATTCCTTTTTACATTACAGTTTAAGATATCCACTATTTCAATGAAAGTATTATATCGACGTCAAGTGTTCCTTTGTTTAATATATATATATATTTATATATATATTAAACTTTTTATTAAAACAAGTGAAAATAAATATAGTTTCTTAATTATTTCATAAACCGTTCAAGGATGGCTCGATGATTTAATAATTTAAGAGCCATTGTTATAGAGACATTCTGAAAATAATATAATATTACCTCCGTATGTGAAATTAAAATTTATTAGAGTAAAAAGAAAAATTAATTCCAATCACTATATCAAATAGGTATTTTGAATATTATAAAATAATTAAAAAATTTATTTTATAAATACATAAATAAGTGATGTATGCAATAGAATAAATAGTAAATTGAATAACATTTGTTACTCGCTTATCATCTAAATATTTTTTTATAATCCTCTATAATATAGACATTTTCAAATAAATGAAGAAATGAAATATGAAGTACGTATGCTGTGTATAAAAGGCTTCTGAATCTGAAGTTCACGCAAAATTTCTCTCTATCAAGAAAAGACACTCTGATTTCACTATTTCCCGTTAAATAGTCCTTTGCATTGATAAAACAACTCGCGTGTGTACGAATGTCGAATCTGCAAATGTATGATTTTGATGACACGATAAATGGAAAGGAAGAAAGAATGATGGCGCTGAGATAAAAGACGTTTCTGACATACGGCAGCGCTATTAAATATAATGCGCTCCTTCCAAAAGTAGTAAAGATTATGGCTGTAGCTGCATTCCCGCTCGATTCTCTATCTTCTGCGAAGACATTCCGCACTTAGAACACGTGGCTTCGGCTTATTCCCGAAGTATGCGCGTGCGCGGAGTGGAAGCACTTGTCTTTTCCGTTTCTTCCCCGCAGCATTGAATAATGGCCCTTGAGATGGTATGGCGATCGATTATGTGGCAAGATCTTTGCGCCTATGTTTGGACTTCTTGAAGAACAGGAACTTCATAATACACATGTCAATTGCGCCTGAGATGACATATATCGGTCAAGCAACACACGATAAAAGGACAACTTGTCGAGAGTGATTTAATTGTTTTAACGAACGTATTTTAACACGGCTGTGATTGATCATTTTCTTTTAACCTCGTATAAATATACATGCCATTGTGTTTGATACAATAATGAAAAATGGATTTCACAATGTTGTGAAACATAAGCAGTTATAC